GGTTTAGGGTTTAGGGTTCCATGGGGCTTACAGGGCGTTCGGCTTGGTGGCTTCTTGAGCTTTGGTCACCAGCAGGAGATTGCGGCTGTACAACTACGCAACTTAAAGGCACTAAGGCGGCTTGGGGTTAGTAGCAGGGCCTGGATTCCAAGGATGGCATCTTGAAACCTTCGTAGACCTCTCTGCCCGAAACCCTTCAATTCCAAACACCCAAACCTGTGAAACTCTTAAACTCTCAGTCCCCGAAGCCTTACACTCCCTCCTCCAGCCCTCCCTCAATCATTCCGAAACCCTTACGGCATCAGACAACTAAATCCTCATGCCGTAAATCTCTGAGCTCTAGAGCCCCCAAACCCTGAGACTTATGCCCCCAAATGCCTACATGCTGAGGCCTAAGAGCCCTGAAGCACTGACGCTATACCGCCTCACCCTCAATCCTTAAGTACAGTATAAACTCATAAACCCTAAAGAAAAACCAACAGCTCTAGATCACAAAAGCCTAACACACCAAAAAGCTTTCAGTGCTGAAATCTTCAAAGCCTTACCATATGGGTAGTTCTCTAAATTACTGTCCTTTCCAGGGCGCCTTGTATAAGGGTGCGGTATTATATTGGGGACCCAAAGTGGGACCTGAATTGAATTCAGAAGTTTTAGAAGTGTAGCGATGGAATCCACCCCATCAAACAGCACAACTCTCCGGGCACTGGAATTATTATGGCGTTTTCAGCATTATAGGATCACGAAGGGGAAGGGGGAAGCATCCGTCTCGGAGCATCTGCTGGAGGAGATTGCCGACCTCGATATCACGAAGCCGCAACGTGCTCAGACAACAGTCTGGCATCCCGGTTGTCAGCCTATAGGAAGCAGGCAGGTCAGTGCACCGAAAGTGAATGACATCGGCACGCATCAGAGTGATCAGACAAACAAGACGCCCTAACCTCTGACACTAAGCCCTAAGTTTTGCCAAAATTACAAGCTTAATCCTCCTAAGCACTGTACCGGAAACCCTCATCGGTCAATTCCAAAATTCAAAAATGCTCATCGCCTAGTGCCCTGGAGCCGCAAGCCCGAGTTCTTCGAGGGATGGACGAGCTTCGTCTAAGGTCGCGAAGCGGAGAAGAGTTTGACGCCCGGCGCCTCGCGTCGCTCACGTTCTTCAGTGGGGCTACGCGGCTTGCGGTTCAGGGTTTCGGGGTTCGGGTTTAGGGTTTAGGGCCGTGTCTTCAGGGGTTTAGGATTGTTGGGTCTGTTTTGTGGATCCACTGGTTTCAGCGAGCGGCTACAAGAAGATGGAAAGGCAAGGTATGTACAACTCGCGACGAAGTCAAGACAACACAAGGACTTTGAGGGGCGCAGTTTTTGTGATATCGAGAAACAAGTGAGATGAACAGCTACATAGAACATCGGCGTCACTGCATCAATTAATAGTGCAGGCTTACATTGGGTGCTTTCTGCACGTCCTGTACCAGTGCCTGGGACGGTTCGGCAAAATTCCTGTATATGATGTACCCACGCGCTGTACCTACGTACGTACGTACGTACGTACCTACCTACCTACCTCCCTACCTACCGACCTACCGACCTACCTACCTGCCTGCCTGCCTGCCTACCTACCTACCCACCTACCGATCTACCTACTTACCGACCTACCTCCCTACGCACGCATGCATGCATGCATGCAACTATACATATATAGATGCACACATGCATACATTCGTACACGTATCCGTACGTATGTTCGCGCACACACACGTGCATATATACATATAATATTTCATACATACATATACATGCATGCATACATGCATACATACATACATACGTACATACATACATACATACATACATACATCCATACATACATACGTGCAGGTATCCAGCCAACCCTCCGTTCGTCCATCCATCCATCCATCCATCCATCCATCCATCCATCCATCCCTTCATTCATCCATGCATACATACCTACATACACGCATACGAAATTAGACACACATACAGCCATTCATTCATTCATTCATTCAGTCAGTCTCGCGTTTACATACATAAAGACAGCCAGCCAGCCAGCCAGCCAGCCAGCCAGGCAAAAAGGCAGACAGACAGACAGATAGACAGACAGACAGACCATACATACATGCATACAGACATACGCACATACATGACATACCTACCTACCTACCTACCTACCTACATACATACATACATACATACATACGTACATCTACATACATGCTTGCTTGTTTGCTTGCTTGCATGCTTGCTCGCTTGCTTGCTTCCTTGCTCCCGGCCGGGTGGTGCATATTGGGTGGCCCGCTCATTGTTTGGGTGTTTGCTGAATGTGTAACTGCTTGATTGATTGGCAGAGTTTTGGACCACTTAGTGATTGCGAACGCGGTGGTTAATTGTTTGTGTGCTGCCTTTTTACCCTAAACCCGAAATCCATGGCTCACTCTTTGCCGTCTTGATACAAGGGCCGGCTCGTGAGTTGCTGCGAGTGTCGACCATCTGTCCTTCCTGCCTTACTGGTGGACTGTCTGTTTACAAGGTCTGTCGATTCGCTATTTCCGTTCGGTTCTATTCTAGGGTTGAGGGGGTTTTGGGCGATTCGCTAAACTCTGGAGAGTCAACGGACCGAACTGTTTTCTTGACTAGCCGACCAGGTTGATTTGTGCTAGTGTCCAATGTCTCGAGGCTCTACTCTCCGGCAGTTCTGTTTGTCGCTGCCCGGTTGCCGCCATCTTCACTCAAGCAGCGACCCGGGAGCAGTTTCACTTTAGGTTCTAAAGGTTACTCTAAGGGTTCTACATGTGTTATTGATTACACACAGTGGCTAAAACGGTTGTACAGAGGTTACAGTACAATCGGGTGACTATGAAGGGTAAGTACTACCTGAATTACTACAGGGTTGCTGTGCCTTTGCTGGGTTTCAGACTTTCAGGCTCGAGGCTTCAGACCTTGAAAATCAAGGCAACCGGCCCGACTCTGTTCAACGGTTTTTCCGGCCAGTTCGCTCCGATGTTGAGGATGCATAGGCAACGCGCGCACACACACACACACAAAGTCTTGATCCGTTCTCTCATCGTCAAACCCGAGTGTTTGCCCAAAGCTCGCAATTGCGCGGCCGCAATTCCATATATGACAAGCCGCACATTCCCCAATGCCCTCAACTGAGGCGCCTCGTAGACACCAGCACTCTCACGCACGCCTTTGGCTGCGCTTGTGTGCCTTGGCCGAAGCCTGCATTACGAATGTAAGCCCCATGCTCAATAACCATGGCCTCTCGGGTGTTGTTGGGTTTCGAGATTTGAATCTGGTGAGACTCAACGAGCCGTAGGGTTTTGTTTCTTGATCGAAGGATCTCCGAATATCGTTGCGTATGCGGGGAGGCCAGGGCATCAATTCTCCAAGGGGGATGGGTGGCCCAGCAGCTCAAGTCAACCACAATACTACCCGTAGTAAAGTTTAGGGATCGGCGCCGGGTCAGTGACTAATTGTTGCTGCTGCTGCCCTACTGTACTACTACTACCACTACTACTAGGACTACTACTACTACTACTACTACGACGACTACTACTACTACTGCTACTGCTCCTGCTCCTGCTCCTGCTCCTGCTCCTGCTCCTGCTCCTGCTCCTACTGCTGCTGCTGCTGCTGCTACTACTCACTACTACTAGTACTACGAAGACGACGACTGCTGCTGCTACTACTACTACTACTACTACTACTACTACTAGGAGCTCCGAAACCCAGGGGATGATCAATGTAACTTTTATTTGGGGAGGTTGGGGTCCCCACGAGCATCAGCTTTCAAGGTTAGTCACAGTCATGCGGGAGTCGACTTGCCGAATATGCAGGACGCAGAGAGGTGAAGCGATCATCCTTGAAGGAAGCGAAGTAGATATGGGGGGGTTCCGAGAATAGGTGACCCTAATATAGTACCCTAAATAGTAGGATCCTTATTATAAGGACCCCAAAGTAAGGTACCCTAATTTTCGGAAAGTCCTATATAGCACCGATCAGCTCTGCACGAACACCATCAGAATCATAGCGCCGCCTTTACACCCTGCCTCCTGCTCTCGTCTGAGGTGGATAATGTGCACAACGGGGGTCTTTATACTCCTGCATACTTCATTGGCGGCTCGGTCTTGTATGTTTATCGGGGTGACATTCTGCATAGGCCTTCTCGCTGTCTGTGCAAATTGAGGAGCTTTTGTTGTTGCCTTAATCCTCCGATCATGAAATATAGGCGGACCAAGTCTTACATTGTGAGAAGATGGCCTGAACCCTACTTCCTACTTCCTACATCGCGTGAACCCTAAAGCCCTGAACCCCTAAACCTCTGAATGCTCATTGCCTGCCTCTCCCCCAGTCAGTCCCAGTGCCCAGCATCCTCAAAATCATCCTCGAAATGCCCTTCCTCAAGCCTCAACGAAGCCTGAAGAAGCCTTGAAGAAGTCTTAAAGAGCCCCAGCAAAACCTTGGAAGAGCCCTTGAAAAAGCGCTTGAGGAACCCCTCAAGAGTACTGTAAAGAGCCTGGAGAGAGCCTAAAGAGCCCTTGCAGATCTTGAACCCTTGAAGAGCCCGACAAATCCTTTAGAGAGCTCTTTTGAACAATCCCTTACAGAGCCCTGACAGAACCATCAAGGTCGCCTTTAACAGATGCCTTAAACAATCCTGAAACAAGCCCTTAGATCCCTGCAAGAAGCCTAGTCCCTACACCCTACAAGACAGTCCTTCACGAACCCAGGAGTTGGTCTACTTCAGGGTGACGGCTGGCACCACTCGACACGCCAGCTGCAATTGAATAGTTAGAGCTTCGGGATCTTCGGGAGATGCTCTAGAAAAAGCAAGACAGGGTTTTGGGTCCCTAATTCAGGGTCTACCTGGTTTCTGATTTGTTGTGTTCAGATTGAAGGTGCGTATGGTTTTAGTAGGATGTTGCAGATTTCGGGCTTACGGGGTTTGGGGCTTAGTTAGGGTTTACGGTTCCGAGCAGAGTTGGGCAGTTCCGAGTTCGGGCTTGGTGCCAGTGTCTCCTGGGGAAACACCCCCGGCTGCAACGGCACTACAATAGTCCCCAAACCCCTGTAACTAGCCCTTCATAGTAACCCCTTAAAGTACCCCTTAAAGAGACAGGAAGGGAACCTTTAGAGTAATCACCCTTGCAAGGAGTCTTATTTCTCATTACTAATTGCAAAGGTTCCCTAAGGCCCCTTTTTGATGATAAAGGGTGTCACCAGCTAGGCTCCCCAGTAGTACCCTTTTGCCCGTTTTATTTGGGGGGTCTCCTTATTAAAGCCGAAATATTAGGAACAAGGGTACCCTCATTATTAAGGGGTTACTGGGGAACCTAGCCAGTTCTCCTAGCCGAAGGAAAGAGAACCTCAAGGCCGAGTGGCTGACCACCTATCTGCGCGGGGCCCGGATATGTGGACTTTTAGGGTTTAGGGTTCCCTAGCCCTCCAGGTACCTACTATATAGGGCTTTAGGGGCTCTAGTACCCTATATAGTAGGTACCTGGGGGGTTAGGGGTTTAGGGTTTAGGTGGTACTCGTGAGCCCCCGGATCCGAAATCCGAAAGTAGGAAATACTCCTGCTTTTCGAAGAGCCTATACCAGCAGACTCAGACTGATATATTCTGCTGAGCTGCAAAGCACGATTCGTCGACTCGAATCTTGCGTGTTTTATTTTTGTCTTCTGGGGAGTTGGTTAGTCCCGGCCAGCCATTTCATTCAGGGTACGTGTTTTGTATACAAGGGATGAGGCTTTAAGGGTTCCGGCTTTAGGCTCCTTTCGCCCGGGCGAAGGTTCCCTGAGCCCCAAATCACACGCCCCTAAGCAAAAAAATGGTACCCTAAACCCTAAACCCTAACTGCAAGAAAGGGAGCAACCTCACCACCACACGATCTTACGAAGCAAGGGCAGGAGCTGCAGAAGGAGCCGAGGGTCTTCCATAAGGGTGTAGGATTTAGGGCTTAAGGTTTAGGGGTTTAGGGTTTAGGGTTTTCGGGTTTAGGATTTAGGGTTTAAGGTTTATCGGGTTGCGGGCTCAAGATAGGTTTCATGAAGGTATAGGGTCTAGCTTACAGCAACTCCTGAACCCCTGAACCCTAAACCCCAAACCGCTAAACCCGAATAGCGTTTCCCAGCCCCCAGGTCATGTACC